TACATTAGTATCATTCCCTGTCACCAGCCATTAACGGTCCCATCACATCCTACATCACCTACCAAAGTGCCAAGGCTTCGTCACTAACACGAAGGGGCTACGGACCCTGTGGTTTTTGCCTTCTAAGGCTCCTTATCTGTTTCCGTTGATTGTTGTTACTTCCTATCACTTACCATCGCTGTTCCCATTGTGCCGCCTATCTGTCTTTCAAATTTTAATGCTTCAGCTACAGTGACACGGAAGTTATGAATTTCCGGTCGGACAATCACACACACACATACTCACACACACAAACACACCAACAGTATATAATTGGATGTTTAGAGGATTTTGTAGTTCATTGAATAAAATAACTTTTCTGTCGCAGGACTTTCTTGCCAACCATAGTGAACACTAACTCACAGCGGGCTCCCTTTATTTCGATGATAGAGCCGAGATGCTCGTTTGACCCGCCATTCCCCCTTCCAGAATGTTCATAATATTTATTATCGTTGTGGAATGACTGGAATCACGCGTGCACTACAAACATGAGGGTTACGAAATCTATCCACAACATACAAGAAGAACCTTCGACAAAGTTCACAGCATCAAACTGCAACCACCGTGTTAACCTATTGAGATCGAGCTAGATATGACCCACAACACAACAAGTAAAATAAAAAGTGCGGATGTAGAACAAAAAATTAATGGCTTTATCACAATACATAACCTATGTCGCGCCCTTGATGTTGTTAAAGGTAGGAGTGAGGACCACGCTCTAGTAGTCCCGCTTGACCCTCCACGTCATTATGGACGTCCTTAACTAAGGAGGTCGTATCAGACTGTGAAAACAACGAGGGATGGGGATTGCCGAGCCGGACGACGATACATCCTATCAACTTCGAGGCCCCATACTTAATGCAGAAGGTTCAGCTGTTCCAGTAACTTTTGCCTTCTAAGATTTCTTATCGGCCTCATAATTTTTTGTACCTTCCTGTCACCCACTATAGTATTCCCAACCCGTTCACTCCTTAAAAAGTTAAACGCCATAGGTCTGGGGAAGAGAAGTTCTGAATCTGGGCAGAAACACACACACCGACGCCCACACAGAAACAATCACACTGTTGTTGAAGACTAGATTATCACTATTTGCAGCTGACCAGCACTCGATGTGGTAAGGATTGCTTCGCTCAACAATGGAGCAGACATGATTCAACCTTTAGCTTTGCTCGAGCCCACTAGAAAAAGTCTTACTACGCGTTAGAATAGTACATCACTGTCAATCAACAGCTTTTCCTCTAAGGTAGGATAGTAAGATTGAGGATTTATAATTAGTGGTCTCGGAGATCACATAAATGTTAAAGCACATAGCAACAGCTTTCAGCATCAGCTTTGTACCAAGTACAGATGAGAAAAAGGTATGTACAGAGTGATAAAACTGCTCTTGCTGTTACTTCCAGGAAAAGACCGGTGGTCGAGATAGGAAGCTTTGCAATCAGCAGTTGTGATACTGATACCTTTTGACGGTATAAAAGGATTCATTTTTTCAGCTGCTATTCATTTGTCCAGTTTGCTGCTCTGAGACATGGGAGGAGGCGCTTCAGCTCCTGCTAAAGAACCTGAGCCTGAGGTTAGTCCAATTCTTTTCGTTCTTTCCAGCCTAGCAAATAATAACCTGCTTCGATAGCCGACAGCCATTCGATAAAAACGTCACCACAGCAGACACAAGTAATTTCAAGGCTATGTAGGAACGTTTTGAAGGGAGATTTTTAAAAACAGGCTATTATTAGTTCAAAACTACTTCATAATTTATCTTTAGTGATGATCTAGAGGGGCCAGCCTTCTTTCCCATTCAATTTCACTGCTATCCTGATCGAGTCGTTAACAGTTTAATCATTTGCCTGGGATCGTACCCATTCATTTCATCGCATCTTACTTCCGTACCGTCTGCCAAATTACATATAATGATCATGACACAACATTATCTTTTTCAGAAAAAGGATGAGGGTGCTCCCGTGCCAGCTGAAGCTCCAGGGGCAGTTCCGGCAGAGCAACCGGCTCCACCTCCACAACCAGCAGAAAAAGGAATGAAGGAGGAACTACCTGCCGAGCCGAAAAAAGAAGCGCTACCCGAACAGGTGGAACCTCAAAAACTGGAAACTGCGCCCAAAAAAGAGGAACTTCCTCCGGAAGCACCTCCTAAAATAGCCGAAGCAGCTCCTGTAGAAGCACCTCCGAAAAAAAGTGAACCTCCTGCAGAAGCTCCTCCTATGAAAGTAGAACCTCCTCCTGAAGCACCTCCCAAAAAAGCTGAAGCTCCTGCAGAAGTGCCCCCCAAGAAAATTGAACCTCCAGCCGAAGCTCCTCCAAAGAAAGTTGAATCTCCCCCAGAAGTAGCTCCTAAAAAAGCTGAAGCTCCACCAGAAGCACCTTTGAAAAAAGTTGAGCCTCCTGCAGAAGCCCCTCCTAAAAAAGCTGAGCCTCCTGCAGAAGTTTCTCCTAAAAAAGCTGAGGCTCCGGTGGAAGCTCCTCCTAAAAAACCGATCCCTGCCGAAGTACCTCCTAAAAAAGATGAATCACCTTCAAAAGTCGCTCCTCCTAAGAAACCCGTAGAAGCCGCCGCTAAAAAAGCAGGACCTTCGAACGATGTCAAAGTACGCGAAGAAAAAACTCCAGAAAAGAAGGGCGTTAACGGAAAGCCTCCAGACAAAAAGGCCCCTGCTGAGTCGCTCGAGAAAAAGGGTTCGAAGGAGAAGGTGCCAGTGCAACCACCGAGCCAAAGGAAATCTGCAATTTACAAGATTAAGAAAGCAGAAGAGAAAGTGAAAAATGCTTTTCATAAGCCAAAAGCAACGAAGAGCAAGTCAGCCGAAAAGGTTTCGGTAAGTGAAGGCAACGAAATCAAGTGGTTGAACAGTTCCACGCGGTTGAACAGTTATTGCCAATCTGAATCCAATCTTAGCGTCGATGGGAAGTGATATCAACTGATATCGTTCTCCAATCCCCACGGTCGATGGTTTCATTCTTGACCGATATTAAGAGATGGCAAGGAAAGTCGGAGCAGCTGGAGCGTCACTGAAATTTCGTTTTGGGCTGACAGGGAGGACTGCAAACCGGTGATAAGTGTGTAAGGGACGATGGGTACGACCTTGCCTTTCGTAGTTAAAAGGATTGCTTTTAATGAAATGGGCGTACTTTGGGGCCTAAAATTTAGATAGTGATGCACAGCTGCATGCCACGCAATACAGCTGAAGGCACGCATCCTCAAGAAACTTTAACTCCTTGAATAGCTTGCGGCCTAGAATAATAGATATATGTGTTAATCACTTGCGTAATTTCGATTGAGAGTCTGCCACAAACTTTCAGAAGCAAAAACCCAATGCAAAGAAGTGACTTCTTATGTACTCGTCAAAGCTAGCAAAGGTAGGAGGAAGTGGACTTTGGAAATTGTTATTTCTTTCATACTGCTTACTTACAGAGGCATCAGAATGTTATATAGAATCGAAGCGAATGATAAAGTTCCCGTCTTGGTTGATGTACTCTTTACTCGCATTGGTTAATACTGCATGAGCTTTGTATGAAACTCCTGTGTTTGATTTGTATTTGATCATTATCCAGTCCGATACATAAGTTACTTGTGCACTTCATCTAATAAACCTTTTCAACCACCGAGTCATTATCACTCGAATCTATAAAATGAGTTCAATCAAAGCTTGTTTGCATGACATCGTCATGGTATGCGAGTCTTTCTGTAGAGGACTGGTTGAGACCAAAGTTTACTTCGCGTAGCTAGCTAAGCGTATTGCTTGTTGAATCGAGCATGCTTCAATTAAAGTGTAGTATTTTAGGCCTCTCTGGGATCAGAATATGTATATTCAGGGGTGCCCTGAAAGAGTAGCAAGTTCACGGAAGACTGCAATTACCTTCTCTGGAGGGTTTTCCAAATCTGCAGCTCCTCTTATGTATACGATATCCCTTAGCTCACATATCTGCTTTGGCGCTCTCAGAATGAAAGTGGTGATGCTCCGGAATCACCCAGCAACCGTAAGTCTGCGCGCATTTGGTAATTCCTTTCCCGAGACCGCTCCTCGTTTCATTATTTCCCGCATGACAGCGTCCTGAATCGTGATGTTGAACAGTAGAGAGAAGTCTCAAGACGGTCGTCTTGACTTGGTTGCGATCCCTTTTCCAAATACAGTTGTAATTAGAGTTCTATCCAGATAGGTTTAAAAGCGTTATAGGCTCATCGACGAGAAGCTCTTCGACAGAAAAAAATAAATGCCGTGTGCTTTTCCCACGCGGCACTCGCTTCGGCACACTTTCTTACGAAAGGTTGTTCAGAGATGTCGGGATCTCAGAGTACACGTATTTTTCACACTACGAGTGCTAAAGCCGTTGAGCAGAGTCGGGCCTCCTCTCGTAGCCATTCTCCCTGTTCCATGACGGTTCGGGCTGTATGTTCCGTCAGAGCGATATCGCTAATTTTGGAAAGAAAAGTGTAAAATTCAATATAACATCTTCATGAAGTTAGTTCTGGAAGGACTTTGTGCTGAGTGGCAGAGATCATTTCAGGTAGTTCAACCTATGGTGCTCTCAATACTATGGAAAAAGTTCAAGACTGGTGCTAAGGAAATGTTCGCGATTCTATCCCTGCCTCCAATCGGCCTACGAAATTCGAGAATCGCAATCCAATGGGTTGCTGGATATAGCCCATACTGAAGAGGGAAGCCTGCACTTATAAACGCTTTTGTTGCTGCTTCTTAGAAATCGTTAAAAAAAGCCCGGGCTGGAGTTCCCCGAGAAACTCTGCATGTGCAAAACGAATGTAAACAAAGTGCATAGCAAATAGTTCACATGAATTCATCATGTATCGATATGAATTTCGGTTTCTGCAACCCAACTCTTTTGTTGCCATCCCTCCCATTTCGCCATTGTGTCGGTTTGTCGGCATGTCGGTTTGTGTGTATGTCCGCCCCCAAACTTATGATCACGATAAAAGTAGCGAATGGAAAGCTTAGCTCTATTCTACACTTCCTTCCTATATATAAGGCAGGAACTTGGTGGGTAGGTTAATGGAGTAGACTGAGTACTGCGGAGTGAAATGAGAAATGTGGAGTGAAGTGGGTACCTCAAAGCTGTGATATTGATCTGTACTGATCGTGCTATGTATGTCTATACAACAAGATAAGTCAACTGAATTTTCAGTTCGTACCTCATCCTAACTTTTTGCACGAGGTAATCACTCACATCTCGGTCGCTTTTCCACTCATCAGGCTTAGGAAGAACAATGTTCGTCTGCCTAGAACCACCCAGAACCACTCTAAGCAGAGGTAAGGTTTGCTACACCTTCTCTGCACTGAAGCCCTCAGTGTTGGAT